AGAGCTGTTTCTGTCGGCGGGACAGCTTCAGCAGGTCACACGGCTTCAGGTGGGCCCCGCTCTGTGCTGGGGCCGCAGCGGTGCCCAGCCCTGGGAAGGGTGTCAGGACCTCCCGCCCGGTCAGGCTAGAGAGAGCAAAAGAGGGAGCTAGTGACCCTCAGGGGACATGATGGGGGAAGGGGGGAAGGAAGACATGGGACAAGCAAGAGGAAAGGGACCTCCTAGGGGGCTTCATTTATACCCTGCTGGGAGGCAGGCCAGCCCCATGGGGTATGTGCCCATTTCACAGAGTAGAAAACCCAAGTGCTTGTAACAGGGTCTAGTGCCCAAGTTTTCCAGATGCCAAAGTCTCTGCTCTATGTCCCAACTTGGCCCAATCATAAAAATCATCTGGGTGCTTATTAAAAATACAGATGCCCAGAATCCACGATTGGCAATTCTGACTCTATTGGTCTGGGGCGCAGCCTGGGAATCTGTATTTACTACACATCTTGGGCGGCTTCTATGATCAGGAAAGTTTGGGAAAAAAACTGCATGTAGCGTGACTGCTGCCTGGAGGGTAGAGCCATATTCCTAAGAGGGGGCAGGCGGACAGGGGTAGATGTTGGGCAAACACTCAGCAGCTTCTCTGAGATCCCTCTCTCCCTTATATTGCTGCCCATGTAATCCCATGCCGACCTAGCCTGTTTCCATAATTCCCAGATCTTCAACCATTTGGCCACTCAGTGCCTGTTACAAAGGGATCCTTAGGGAATACCTGGATGGATGGAGGAAGGAAGGAAGGAAGGAAAGAAGGAGGAAGGAAGGAACAGATGGATGGATAAACTGGCCGATGGCTGGATGAATTTCCATCAGGCCGTCAGCCCCAGTCTTGCCGTTCTACTATATCTGAAGTTCATGGATTCTGAAGTCAGGCTGCCACTTCTTAGTTGTGTAAACCTTGAAACCTTGGTTTTTTCCTCTGGGAAGTGCAAAGAGGATCCTTTCTACCTCCTGGGCCCACCACAGTGCCTGGGACACTCTGGTTCACCTTTCTGCCGGTTAGAGTTTCTCAAGATTCCTTCCTCTTGCAAGGTGCTTTATTCTCCAACCTGGGCAGAGTCTTCCCTTTGTCCACATAAGGAAACACAGTTTTATGAGGAGGCAGTGACTAGCCCGAGCCGTACAGCAGATGAGCAGCAAGGCAGGGACTACATTAGAGTTCCTTTTCACTCTCCCCAGAAGCTCTCTGAGACGGTTCTCCTGTTGCCTATCCTGTACCCTGGTGGTCCTCAGCATGGGTAGAATATATACCATTCCAGACCCAGGCTAGAGGAAGCAGCTGCCTTCTGGAACACGCCAGCCTCATGGCCAAGATAATGAGCAAAAATGAAACCAGGTGACGGCTCCTAAAGCTCCTGCTTGGATGTGGCCCTTGTCACTCTTGCTTATACACCACGGCCAAGGCAAGCCCTGGCCCAGCTGCTGGTCAGAGAGGCACATACTGCATGGAACCAAGGGCCCAGCTCTCCTGTTTAGAGCCACCTGACCCAGCCAGGACATCTGGCTGGATGCCACACTGCCCCAGGGAGAGTGTGGGATCTGGCCAGGCCCCAGGTGCCCCCAGAAAGTGCCCGTAGATTCTAAATCCATCAGATGCAGCCAACCCAGTGTGGAGCATATCTCCGAAACCCCTGAGCAGAGACAGATGCTATCAGGCTCCTCCTGGCCCAGCCTGGCCCTAGGCTCCCCTGCTAGACAGGGTGAGGGCAGGGACCCGTTAATCATTAATCTTGGGGCAAATGGGTAAATTTCCGGCCCACTAGGTCTACACCCAAACCCCTCCCTGCAGCCTGGCAGGAAACCCTTAGAGCTTGACCCTTGGCAGGTCCAGATGTCAGCTCTAGCGGAGGAGGCCCCACCCTGACTGGCTTCCAGTGTGAAGGGTGCAAAGGGAGCAGGAGCCATCTAGCCCCTCACAGCAGGTGCTGGTGTGCGGGAGCCATCTAGCCCCTCACCAGCAGGTGCTGGTGTGCGGGAAAGCTGCTCACACTGTTCCTGTGTGTTGGAAATTGGGACCTCCCTTGTAGCAGCTGATTGACAGGTGAGAGAACAAGCAGGGAGTGATGGCAGTTTGGACCAACGGGGCTGTGCATCCTTCAAGGCCTGTCTCAAACGGCATTCTAAGAACAATACTATTGTATCATTATAGCTATATGATACCTTATATCTTATCCTATATAGTCTATATTATTATCACTTTTTGAGTGCTTCCTCTAAGACCTTTAGCTTGCAGACATCTGTTGAGTTGGCTACCCACTGCTTCTTCCCAGCTACATGGATACCATGGGGTCGGCCATTTCATACCACATGACCTTGCTGCTCTGGCCTACTGATTGGACCAATGAGGAATCACATGACCGAAGCTGGGCCAATCAGTCCTTTCTCTGGGAATTAGGAATTGGAATGACGAGCGCATACGGTTGCTTTCTCTCTCTTCCTTTCTTTGGGCAATGGGGCCTGTAACTCAGGAGATAAAAAGAGGAAGCTGGCCCAAAGAGAGAGAAAAAGAAAGAACCAAACACATAGAGGGAAGCAGAAGTGAGAGTAGGAGGGAGAATTTGGGGAGCTTTTCAGCCCTAGCCCCAGAGTCTTCCTACAGGCAGCTGTGTTCTTGCCTTAGATGCTCCTATCTGTAGTACAGTGTCAAGGCCCGGAGTTGGCTGTCCAACTAAGGATGCTGTCACTGATCACGACCTTCTGACAGCTGTGGAGTACCAGCATCGCCTCGCCTGCACTTGTGAGCCAGGCTCAGCAAACACCCTCTCCCCCATCCATAGGCACCTATTTTTTAAAATTTCGTTTAATAGGCCTTGTGATTGATGGCCCCAGAAGTCCAGTATAAAGTCGGTTAATTTTATTAGCAGTAATGACACTTAGTAGCGATTAATGGTCAGGAAAGGCAGCCAACCGCATAGAGGCCTCAGGCCACACTGGGCCCTGGTCTGCCCAGGGCTGCTCTCAGAGAAAGCTCTCTGGCACTGCCTTGGGGACCCCCACAGGACCTAGGAAGACAGCTGGGAGGTCTTCCAGGACCCAGTTTGCCTTTTATTTATTTTCTGTGTCGCAGCTGGGATTCTGTTTCCTTGGACGAGACAGTGCCAGGACATCAAATTTGGAAAACACCGTATTTCCTCCGGTGGTGTTAGTGAGCTATCCTCCACATGCCCTTCCCTTGGCAGCTACCAGGGAAGGCTTCTTCCCGGACCTCAGGAGCATTCCAGGCACTGCAGGCTCCAGTCTGATTCAGGATCTGTGGGCATGATCCCCTCCCCTTGAAGAAGCCGCATTCCCCGGCACCCCAGGCCCGAGAACCCCACCCACCCGCCTCTCTGCAAAAACTTAATTGCCCACACGTCAGTCGGGCCCCATGAGAGTAAGCCGTACACCCGGAAGAGATCAAGTGAGCCTCATCAGTCTTACGAATTCAGACAAAATTTGTTTTCATAAAGATACTGCTCTGTGGTCAGGTCAGATGCCATCAGCCACACAAGTAGTCAGTGTTCTGAGCTGAAGAGCAGGGGCTGAGTAAGTTGTGAAGTTGCTAGCTGCTCTTCTGGGCTGTGGGACAAGAGTTCCTTCAGGCTTCTGCCTGATTCACGTGTTCCTGAGCCCTCTGGGACCACACCATCCCTCCCCCCGCTGTATCTGCTTTAGCCCAGCTGGTGTCCCCCATTCCTGCTTCCAGTCGGGCTCCTCAAGGCTGACTTCCAGCGCCTCTTCTCTTGTCAAGAAAGCAACAACCCCATGTGGCCAACTCCATTCTCCTCCCTTCTTTGCGTCCCGCCTGTGACTCTCTGCTCTCTGTACCTTCAGCCCAAAGCCCTTAGTGTAATAATAAGGCCACAAGCCCCCACCCCTACACAACAAGATGTCCCTGGCTTTGACTCCAGAGCATCCACAGCTACTCCCGGGGCCACCCTGTCTCCACCCAGCGTGGGAAAAGTCAAGGGTGCCCCTGGGGACTTCATCTCACCTACCCCCCCACACCCAGGCCTCCTCTGCTCACCCCGGCCCCTCCTGCCCTGGCCCTCCTTTCACTCTCTAGTGCTCACCCCATCCACAGTTTTGGCTGAAGCTGCCCCATCGGGGATGACCTTGAAGGAAGGAAAAGAAGGTTCTCCCAGGACTTGGAGAAAGTGTCCCAGGAAACTGCTTTCAGTTACCTTCCGCAGGACCCCAGTCACCACTAAACCCCAGAAAGGAAATGGAGCTCACCCTGGAACGGTCACCCACCACCTGCTGGAGTAGAGGGACCCAAGGATCTCAGGCCCCCAGAGCTGTTCTGGCCTGGGTGGCCTGGTCCCAGTCTGCCTACACTCACTGGTGACCTTGGGCACATCCACTCTGCCCCTGAGCTCATCCCAACTAACAAATACACACTGACCAGTGGGAGACCATGACCGGCCCAGACTGCTTGGGTTCCAGTCCCACTTCCGTCTCTTACTCGTTGTGCCACCTTGGGCGAAGCACTTCACCTCTCTGTGCCTCATCTATAAAATACAGATAACCACAGTACCCACCTCACAGGGTTGTCAGGAGGATTAAATGAGTTCATTTTTGTACAGCTCTTAGAACAGTGCCCAACACCGTAAGCTCCAGGCAAGTGGCACTCTTGAGCACTCGCTGTGTGCCAGGCGCCAAGCTGGCTGCTGGGACCTGCTCCCGCCCTCGAGGAGCTCACAGTCTAGAAGGAACTTGGTTGCACTCAGGAGTACTCCAGAATTTCCCAAGGCCCCAAGAAGCAGAAGAAGGAGAAGAAGGCTTTGAACCAGCCCAGCTCCCCATGGAACAATCAGTAGCTGCTCAGGGATCAGAACTCTTAGCTCCATCTGGGTGAGAACCTGACCTTGGCCAGTCCTGTCCTGCCTGTAGTAGGAGGCCTGGGGGGTGGGGAGGAGGCAGAAGAAGCTCCCAGGGAGCACCCCTGGCTAGCTGGGGAAGACCTGGCAGCTGTAGTGCATTTCCCATCACTTGGGGGTGCTCCAGGCTCCATTCTTCCCCCCCCACCCCCACCCCTGTTTCTGGTTGAGAAGTTTGATGGTTCCAGGATGTGGGTGACTGAGTGGGTGGGTAGTATAGGACA